AGCATCGGGCCGCGTAGCTACTTTTAACTGCATAAGCATCACAGCGAGGAAGAGAAAAGCGTTTTTAATGAACCTATTTTTGTCTCCTAGAGACAAAATTATTCTCTCCAGAAAAGGCGAAGACGTTCGTGGGGTTTTTGGCCACATTTTCTGGTGCGCCCACACGCTAACAGCGAATCACGCCGGCGGCACCGCCGTCCTTATTAGGAAGGACACCAGCATCCGGATGATCGACCCCCAGTTGTGTGCCGACGGACGCTTCGTGCTCGTTGACTGCATCGTCGGGAATCGGCTAACGCGGCTTGTCTCCGTCTATGCACCGAACAACCCGGCCGAGCGCAAGGATTTCTTCTTAAGGCTGCGTCTTCTCCCGGACACTCCGGCGGCGCTCGTGGTTGGCGGGGACTTTAACTGCGTCCTGGACGGCCGTGACAGGGTCCGAGGATCGGCGGTCCCTAGAGCTGACATGGGGGCGGGTGCGCTGCGAGACGCTGCGCGCGACTTCGACCTCGTGGACGTGACGGAGATGCTCGACACCTTTTCTTCGCGGTTCACGAGGTGGACGGGAACGTCGCAGGCGAGGCTCGACCGTGTCTACGTCTCCGGAGAGCTGTCCGGGGGGGTTGCGACGTACGACGCCAAATTGTGGCCTTTTCCGATCATGGCTTCGTTTCCACCGTGATGAAATTCGGCGGAATGGGGGGTGACCAAGCGCGGCGCGACGCACCGTGGAAAATGAACGTCGGCCTACTGGACAGCGAAGAGTTCATCGAGGAGGCGCGGCGTGCTCTCCAGAACCTGGAGGAGGGCGGCGCGGACGCGGTCTCGTGGGAGGAGTTCAAGATCAAGCTCCGGGATGCCGCGTGCGCGCTCGGCCGCCGCAGGGGCACAGATGAACGTAAAGCTCGGATTCACCTCACGAACACCCTCAAGGCACTACTGGAGGAGGAGGAGAGCAGTCCAGGATCCTTCTGTGACGACATCAAGCTCTGCAAAGAGCACCTGCGGGCCATGCTGAAGGAGCGCTAGAAGGGAGCCCAGGTGAGGAGCATAGTCGAGACACTCGAGGGAGAGACGCAGCCCTCAAAGATCTTCCGTACACACGAGCGGCAAAGGGCGACAGAGAACACTATCAAGGAGCTGCGGCAAGGAGCTCGTGTTTTCACCTTAAGGGAAGACATTGCGGGCGTCTTCGAGACGTCCTTCAGGGAGCTCTTCCGGGAGGAGAGGCTTGACGATGTCGCCTTCGAGCCCTTTCTCCGGGGATCTCCTTCGGTTCCTGAGGAAGCAATTGACATTTTGAGCTGTCCAATCCGGGAGGCCGAGATCCTACATGCAATCAAGCACCTGTCCCGTAACAAGGCTCCCGGCCCGGACGGCATCGGGTCAGAGTTTTACCAAATCTTTTCTGACGCTCTGTGCCCCATCTTGGCTCGAGTCTTCAATGACATCCGCAGACGAAAGCTACTTCCTCCGACCATGCGGCAAAGCTTCATGGTACTCATCCAGAAGAAATCTAAAAAGGGCAATATTTCCGAGGTCGGGGACTTTCGGCCCATCAGTCTTCTTTGCTCTGATCATAAACTCTTGGCCAAGATCCTCGCAAGGCGACTTGACACAGGGCTCAAGTCCATCATAGGGCCCCATCAGACATACGGCCTTCGCGGGAGGAAAATATTCAGGAACCTCCACATCATGCGGGCGATCGGCGAGGCGACGGCGGAGGGTCACCAGCCCCTGGCGGTCCTGCAGCTGGACCTGGGGCAGGCCTTCGACCGGGTGTCCCACAGGTTCCTCCTGGCGGCGCTGGATCGATTCGGCGTGGGGGAGGAGCTGCGGGAGTGGATCGCGCTCTGCTACCGAGACATCTCCACGCGCCTTCTCATCAACGGTCAGAGGGGAGGTCCCATCTCCATCGGGAGGTCAGTTCGGCAGTGCTGCCCCCTCTCGCCCATCCTCTTCGCGCTGCAGTTGGAGCCACTCTGCCGGGCAGTCAATGCGGACCCATCCATCTCAGGTCTACGGCTTGGGGACGAAGACGTCCGCGTGCTGGCCTTCGCAGTCGACGTCTCGTTTATCTGCTCGCCCAAGGTGCAGGTGCAGACCATCCTGCGACACGTGGACCGATTCTGCGCTGCCTCAGGGGCCATGATCAACCGACAGAAGTCGGCGGGGGCGTGGCTCGGTGCATGGGCGACTACGCCAAATACTTTCGGAGGTATAGGATGGAGCACTTCGCTCGACGGCTACCTCGGTGTGCTGGTGGACCCGCAGCGATCAATGGCCGCAGTGTGGAGACCGACCGCCAACTCCGTTGCCGCCAAGCTGTCGCCCTGGCGGTGCAGAGGCTTGTCTTTCTTCAGCCGGGCTCACGTGTGCAACACAGTCAGCTACCCCGCCGTGCTGTACAAGGCTCAGGCCGTCTGCTGCCCGGGCAGCCAGGCCGGAAAGGTACACCGGAGCTGGGCCATGTTCGTGTGGAAGACCGCCATGGAAAACACACGAAGGAACAACCTCTTTCTGCACCAAGAGAGCGGCGGTCTGGGCCTCGTTAACATCGTGCTCAAGCTGCACGTGCAGCGTTTTCTGCTTTTCCGGGATGCAAGGACCCGACATTCATCGCCGTGCTGCACCACCTTGGATTCCCACATCTCGGAAATCGGATAGTGAGCACGAGTGGCCGCACGACCAAGGGAGCCGCCCTGCGGTCCTACAAGGAAATCGCCAGCTCCATCGAGTTTCTGCAGGCCCAATTTTCCTGGGAGTACCTGGCGACCGTCGGAAAGAGGCGGCTGTACTGGGATGCCGTTTCCGCATCCTTCCCGCCACCGCTCTACAGACAACCACCAACGCCCGACGACGCGGCGCGACTTTACAAACTCGTGCGAATCCTTCCCGTCCCTGTGGCGACAAGGGACTTCTTCGTCCGGATGCATATGGAGGTTCTTCCAGTTAAAACCTGGCTCCATCACAAGGCGTTCTTCGCGCCGGGGTCCCTAAACTGCGACCTTTGCGGGGCGCCCGAGACCCGCCAGTACGTCCTAGTAGAGTGTAGTAACGCCTACCTCTTTTGGGACGAGATGAGGACGACGTTTGAGCTCAGGGACTCCTTCGAATTGGAGTGGAGCGCTTTCAAGTATCTGCAACTCGAGGAGAGGGATAAGACGGAGGTGGCGCACGTGATGGTGCTGCTGGGCCTGCACGCCATCTGGCAGTCGCGTACCGCAATGGTGCAATGCCATCTCGACGCGCGTCCAACCTGGAGCTACTTCGTGTCCACGTTGGGGTGGGTGCTCTCGGTGACGTCGCGGCAGGCGAACGCGGGTGATTGGGAGTGCATCGAGCGACAACTCGAGGAAGGGCGTCGCCGCTGTGTGCAACGACGTACGTCAGGCGTGGGAAACTGGCGAGTTCCTGTGAACTGTAGGCGCGTTGGCGTTGGCTGAGGTGCGCGGTGCGCGAAAGTGGACCATGGCTCTTCCCCCTTAGAATTATGCGTCTATATTGTTCGATCCATTAATTCTTGTTTCGTACACATTGCATAACCTCTGCGCGGTCTCATACTGTATCGTTTACGTTTCCTCTCAATCGTTTCCGCACAGTCTGGTCTAAGCACTTTAGGTTTGTGTGACAGCTATTTACCGCACGGAGATAGTGTATTATTTCTTTTTTTCTGATTTCAGAGTATCTGTTTTCTCATTCGTCTACAGTTTGTATAACGTTTCTATACGAGCTATCCACCTGTCATTTTCTGAATTATTTTTCAATTTGACCTTGTATAATGTTTGCGGAACCTACTGCAAGGATGTCTGTAAATAACATGTAAATACACGTGTTTCGTTTTGCCAAAAAAAAAAAAAAAAATCGGCCGCGTAGTTGAGCGGTTAGAGCGCTGGGACTTGTCGTCGCGTTGAGAAAGTTCCGGGTTCGAATCTCGGTAGACACTTTTTTTTTTTTTTTTTAGTATTGCGCGTTTTTTTTATTTTTTAAGTGTGATCTTTTTTACTAATCATCCACTAGGAGTACTGCGCCTTACACGGTTTTTAATGTTTGCCCCACCTGTTGGGTCGACAAACCGGAAGATAAAAAAGAATACGGTAAGCCAAGTTAACGCCCTACTACAATCGTTTCATAATGTTCATTGAAAGGAAACCAAGACCAAGCGATGTTGACGCGCAAATACGAACGTTTCATAATGTTCGTTAAAAGGACACGAAGGTTACAGCATCGGTATGACTTTCACACAAACGGGTTCAAAACAAGCATCCTTTCCCAGCAAGTACAATTTTATGTGTTTTTAAATATACAACGCTCTTGCTACGGCTGTTTTCAATAACAGGAGGCGCTCATTTAGTACAAATACACACTGCAGTCGTGTCAATTAAAATAAATATATATATTCTCCGAAATATACACACACACAAAAAAAATAACAGCCGTGGATGCATTGATTGAGCGAAATCCTACAAGCAAGGCAGCAAGTCAAACGTCTGACGAAGTCGTAAAACCGAAATAAAAAAGATTATACTTTTACTTACTTGCATTGAATGTGATAAAAGTTATATTTTTACTCTTTACACCTCGCTTTGGCAATCGTTTTGGAATATTAACAAATTACTTGTTGAATTTTAGTATGAATAGCAGACGATCACAACCGAATGCAAAAATGAGTCAGGCGTCGACATCGCAAACCATCTCTCAAACGCAAACACCTAAAATGACTTTGGATCAACAAATGGAATTAATTAGAGCAATTGGAGAACGTAAACAACAAATTCTAGAGAAATTCAGCAGCACAGTTACCTGGCGAACGAAGGGACAGGCATGGGAAGATATTGTCAATGACATAAGCTTCCCGCGGGGTGCACGGCAGCTGCAGGAGGCATGTCGGAAGTTGGTAAAGAAAGCCAGAGACATATATGCGCTCTTCCGAGCGCATGAACAACGAACTGGTGAGTCAGAACTGCCCCCCCCCCCCCCCCTCAAGAATGTTATAGAGCTCATAGGGCCTTGTCTACATTCATAGTTGGAGTGCAGTCAGGCAAAGTGTAGAACTTGAACCTGCGATAAAGCAAATTTCACTAGAAAAAAAAAAGCACGGTAATACCAACAACCGTAGGATATAAAATCAAATACGCGCCAGAGTGAGTAACAAGCCCATGAAAATTTAATTTGCTCATTACGCTTCACCATAGGCACTTTAATATAGCAAAATATGTGGAGGGCTAGTACTAGGAAACGATGTGTTGTGTCTACTGGGAGAAAACTATAGTCGATGACAGGTCAAGAATAAAGGGAGAGAGAAAGGAAGGGTGGGGAAAGGAATCAGGGGGCTCCATAGAGGAGACGAGGTTTCCCCCCGGGGGCTCTCTCTAGATTGCTTTCTCCTTCCCACCTTTCATTTTCCTCTGCTTTCGCTCTTGACCTATCATCGACTGTTGTCTTTACACTTAGAACACTCCTCTGCCTTAACTCAACAGGTGCTGGCCCCAACCCGCATGTAGTGACGCCCATCTTCCAGGCTGTGCTGGACGTCATTGGGCAGGACTCGCCGAATTTCGGTGGCCTGGATGACGTCATTGTCGGCGACACCGAGACGTATGGAACTAGCGTTCATTCAATCTTCAGTAAAATCAAGCTGCTCACTGAGGCTCAGTTGCCAATATCTCTATTTTCAGTCATCTTTTCTGGATAAGTCCTGAATTTCTGGATGCACAGTGGAGCTTATCACCTGCAAAAGTGTTTAATTGGTATTTTCTATGTAATCTTCCGTGCTTTTTCTTTTTTCTTAACTCGAAAGGTAGCTGAAAAACAGCGGAAACAGAAAGTCATAAAATAAGTATTTATCAGTTTGGGAACATGGTGGACATAAACGTTTTAATTCAACAAATGAGAAGCCTTTTTCTTTTGTGGTTGCACAGTCGATGTAGCAATCCAGGAGAATTTGAAGTTGTGGAAAGCTTGCGAAAAGGGCTGTTTGCACTTTTATAGTGTGTGAGTGCACATATATTGTAAAAAAAACAGAAAGAAGGACAGCCGATACACTCGTGAGTTATTTGAACAAAAAAAATATATTATTTCTTACTTATACATGCTGCTAAAGAAATTACCTCCAGCCGCACATCGCCTAGTGAGGATGAGAGTATAGTAAGGTAAAGTTCAGTAATCTTTTCACACCGACCAAAATGTATTCGAGGTGAGAGTAGAGTGAAGGAACCGATTATTAACAGATGTTTCTCAAATGACACTGGCTTCACTATAAACAGGCGGCACAAAACTGCGACCGAGATAAGTCCTTACTACTTTTCCCAATACTGCGTAAACATACCTAACACAAAAATGGGCTGCAGGAAACTGTGAATTATTTTAACAACGCGAAATGTGTGCCTTTTCAGCACTCGGCTAAAATCAACATCCATATGGTTCTGTAGAGTATTGGCCCTGCTGAAGTTCTGCTGCCACCGGACGAACGGGCTGCAAGGCAGGAGGCTGGTCAGCCCGGAAACCTTGGCCTTAGGGCAGACGAGCCCCTCCCTCCTCCAGGCATCCGACCAACTCGCTGGTGCAGGACGGCTGCGCGTCGTTTCCAGCGGCGAAGTGAGGAACTACAAGAGTGTGAAGCAGAGAATATTGAGCTTGACAAAGCAGCCGCTAAGAGGGCACTGGATGCCGCTGAAGCAGTAATCTCAGCCGCCGCGGCGGCGAAAAACTATTACGAGGAGGCTGCGATTGCGCAACGGATGGCTCGGGCGGAAAAGGCAGAGTTATTTAAGTTAAAAAAGCTCAAGCTCGAGCAAGAAATTAAGAAACTTGAAGCTTGAAACTTGAACATGACAACTAACAAAAAGCCTTTTTTCGTAGTGGCAGCCGTCAGGGCCGGCTATATATACACCCACAAGAGCTCTGGGCAAACTCCGGCCATGCCCCTCATCCCCCCCCCCCCCCCCCCCCCCACCACACTCCACCTTTTTATATACGCCCCTATTTGAAGCTTACTTTCTGAATGGCGTAGAAGTAAAAATTCTGTTGCAAATCAGCGCTGTGTCTGTGTGTTTCCTTTTAGTGGTCCTTCGTCTTTAGCGCTGTTTTAACCCATTCCATCATCTCCTATCTACTAGGTACGACATCACGTTGTTAGTAAACATGCAGTAGTGGACGGTGGTGGCCCAACAGGAGCGTCTTGTCAGACGAGAACCACATTCCAAACACGAACGGCGATTGAGCATATGTGCCGAGAAAGTGAGGGAGAGAGGGAGACGAGAGGGATCGTCAGAACGCTAACCTCCGATACGAATGATCAGTGGGTAGACTCAAAGCTAAATGCCTTTGTCTCCACTGCGCTCGCCGAACGCGTTCGAATACGAAAGCCACACGCCTGACGTCGGCGTTCCGCGTTTTTAACGCGTTCGACGAGCATAATGGAGACAAAGGCAGCTAGCTTTGAGTCTACCCACTAATCATTCGTATCAGAGCTTGACGTTCTGACGACCGCTCTCGTCTCCTTCTCTCCCTCAGTTTCTCGGCGCATAGCGTCGTGTCGGGCACTAAGCTCAAATAAATAAAAAAAAAAAAATTGAAAGGAGGGGCGCGGCGGCGCCTTCCTATTCATGGCGCCTTGACCGCCCAGGTAGCCCACCCCTAGGGCCGGCGCTGGCAGCAGTTATTACGTATATGTATAGCAATGCTACGCGACTTGCTGCCAGACATAACTGTTAAATAAAAACACTGTGATATTATTTTAGAACTTTTTTGGCAATGTGACATTGGTGTTATGTTTGATGCAGTATCTTGTAGTCTTTCAGTATGCAAATAAAAATTCTGCTGTTTTTATTTATCCTCTTGTCACATTCCTACTGTTCTCTTTGAGACAACGTTAAAATACATTATGCGAAAGAGGTACAGTTAACAAGTTCAAATAACAAAGATGAATCATTCACTTTAGAACATAATGTCTGCGAGTGCCTGTCACGCAATTTAGAATAAGTCTACTTACATTCACGAAAAAAACCAGGCCACAATAGCAGCTCGGGCTGCCACGCTGTCTGGCCGTATATTGCTTCTATGGGATCGGTGGGGACCTCACTTGGCAGGGAAGTGCTGGGAAGGCTGCACGGAAACCATTTGGCGAGGTTGTGGAGGATGCAGCAGGCCACCACGATGTCGCAGCATCTCTTGGGTAGCATCCGGAGCTCAGCGTGCAGGCAGTTAAAAATTCGTTTAAATTGGCCAATGGTCCTGCAAAAGTGGCCGGATGAAGCAGTATGTATAATGAACTACAGGGGCCAACATTTTAATTGGAGGGCACTTCTGATTGCTCCTCGCATCGTTGTATCAAAACAAAGGTAAATTTTGAAGAATGAGCAAATGGCACCCCCTGCACTTTTGCACAAACATAGTCATTTTTTTTAAAACCTATGCATAATTTGTTAGATATAAACTTGTTAGGCTGATTAGATTATCCTCAATATATGCGAAAAGAGTGTAAAAATTTTAATAATTGGACGCCAAAGAATGGTTTCTCTCAATCGCATTCCGCACCATAAATAACCAAAGATAATATTCGAGCTAAAAGCTACGTTGTAAAAAAAGTGGAAATGAATGTAACGTGCACTTTTTTAGTTGATATAGTTAACTTTTAGCCAATTTTAAGCGGGGAACAAGGCAAAAGAATAAGACTAAATTATTTTAAGGTTTCATTTTTATTTAATTAGTGCCGTCATCAACTTTGTTTATGTATTTTTCACATTCATATTAGATACACTTAGCTGTCTTTTTGTCAGCATTCATCCTACCAATGTCTGACAAATGCTTGAGGGTTTCTATGTGACTAAGATATAAATGGTTTGAACCACTTAGATGGCGATAATGGACAAATCATATTAATGTATGTGCTTACCTTTCTACGATACACCTGGGCGTGATGTGAGCTTTGTTGTATTCCTCCTCTGGCGATGACGAGGGCACCAGGAAGGGTGTCATGAGCCATGGCTCGCACGCATATCCGCTGTCGCCCAGCAGCAAGCCGTCGTAGGTTCCATTGGATAGCTTTACGGAAAGGGCGCTCTTCTTGAAGATCTTGGAGCCATTTGCACTGCCAGGCCACCTTGCTACCACATGGCGAATTTGGTATGCAGCGTCCACCACTAGGTGCACGTTGATGGAGTGGTAGCCATGGCGGTTGACGTGCGCTTCTTCGTGGTCCGACGGTCCTTGAATCCGAATGTGCGTACCATCCACAGCACCCAAAACGGAAGGGAAGCCCGCCACCTCAAAGAACTGCTGCAGCACTTCAGCCGCCTCAGCTTCATTTGGCCACCTGCATTGAAACATTTGCCGTCTGCTCTGGAATCTGTGCACTGAAATTATTGTCACATACACCCACTTTGTGAAGAGTTCCAAGAAGCACTTTTTCGAATACGACCAATCACTGTTTCGAAATACCAAAGTATATCCATTGTGTGGACTCCTTTTAAAAATAATAATTGTTGTGGTAGATCAAAAAATGCTTCATTCGTCATTGTTCAAATTATCGAGAAGTACGAGCTCATAACACAGCGAGTACTTGTAAAGGAATGCATTTTCTAACATTGTAGAGAGGGAAGTACAGCTGAGAAACTTTATATTGGCCAAAAGTTGTTCCTTCTGTTTTTTTGTTTTTTTTAGTGGGAATTAAAACATAATCATATTGGTGTTTGAAAGGGGAAAAATAACATTTTGTTTCTAGGGCTCTGTGATCGCCAATTTGTTTTATTATTTCCTCCAGGTATTAGGACCGATTGCGAAAATATTAAGGGTTTACAATTATGAATGCTTCAACACTTTCCACTTCGGTTAGTATTGCTCTCGTCATTCATACACTAAAGGCTCGTTCGCACACTTGCAACCGAGTAGGACCTTCTGAGGCAAGACCGCGTTTTGAGCCTCTTGCGACGGCTTTGGACCTGCTCCGCAGCAGCGCATCTGGTCCTACGCCATTGAAAGGGGCTTAAAAATCGGTCTTGTCTCACTCGGTCGTATACTGGGTCGCAAGTATGCGAACGCGCCTTTACACTCGCTTGTGTGGGCAATCTTAAAGAAACACTGACAGGGTATTTATGCTGGCCGAGGTTTTTAGTTGTACGTGACATGTGAGAGCCCAACTGCCCAGAAAAGAATTTGTGGCTCGGAATTCGGTTTCTTTCCGCCCGAAAACCGCCGATCGAAAACTGGACTATTCGAGTCGCGCTCACTCTCTTCAGCGCGAAACATATGTAGGACGAAACCGTCCGATCCCACTTGCGAGCAGCCGAAATGACCTTTGGGGGCGAGGGTTTTCGTAGCACCGGCAAGCGCTGAAAACCCTCGCCTCCGAGCGTCATATCGCCTGATCGGACGTCAGATCGGACGGTTTCGTCGTACATGTGTTTCGCGCTTTCTCCGCGGTCACATGCCGTTTTCTGTAGTTTAGACACAACCACCAGATATGATCAAAGTCGTAAGTCATCGAAGGCACAGACTGAATATTAAAACTAGAAAAGAAATATGAAACGCATTTTTTGTGTCTTGTAAACAACAACATTTACATTGATTAAAAAAAAAAGTTACACAGCCATTTAGTTGCATTGCCGTCTAGTTTGAACTAGGGAGCCTTCAAAAAGGCTCCCTAGTTTGAACCAGATGGCTGTGCATCTAGCCATCTCGTTTGTAGGAGATGGCTAGATGCACAGCGAGAAATATAGAGGAGGAGAGAGTTGACTTACGCCAAACTTCTCCTCCTCTGCATTTCTCCTTCCTCCCCAGTTCGGTTTCGGTTTCGAGCAGGTTTTTTTTTTTTTTTTTACTTAAAAATATACGTGATGCTGTAGCAAAATATTGATTGTGTAGTATTCTGACACCATTAAGAATCGCCTGGCAAAGCAAAAAAAATATTCTTGAAGTGTGTCACTTTGGCACCACTGAACACATAATCCTCCATCAAGTTACCTGGCATGACATCAAATAAACAGGTAAATCAAGGACTTTATTATAGCCGGGTTAAACGCCACTAAGGGTATAAATATGTTGCCACTTATCGTATGAACCTCTCTGCACGACGGGCTAGTGCTGCAGTCACCTTCCTGACTATCCGCGATGCAGTGGATACGTGGACGTGCACGTAGTCGCCAGCCGTGATGAGAAAGTTCCCGGTAGCGAAAAACTGAAGCGCAACAATCACCTGCAGCTCCGTAGAAACGACTTGACTGCGGCGCGTCTGTGGTTCCAGGTCTGGCCGAAGTAGCTCTAACAGATACATGATGCCGTCGTACCCGAAGCGGAATCGCTGCTGCAGCTCGAACTCGTCGAACACGTCGAGAGGATTAAGGCGCTCTCGGAATACGCGTTCCCTGCCTAGCATCAGAATGCCATACTGCCGAAACATCCGTTCTCGCCGAGCAAGGTGTCTCGACCTAGATGACATGTCTCTATGTTGGCACACACAGACAGAGAGCGTTGATAAGTCCGTAAATCAGTCGTATAGTCAGTCCGTCGGTCGGTCGGTGAGTATGTCGGTGGAACGGTTTAGCAATCGGTCAAGAAACGGTTGAAAGAAATGCAGGTGCGGCAGAACCGAAAATGGCACAAAACACGCAACAGGTAGGGTAGCCAGACGTTTTGGGACGCAAAAGTACAGTCTCTGCGTTTAGAACTATTAAAATAGATGTTGAGCAAGAAACAAAGACTCAGACATAGCAAGGACGGTTTGTAAAAATTATCACAGGCAAAAAAACACAAAAAAACAACGCGCAGAATAAAAAAAAAGAAAAAAAAAATTCTCTCCCAGATTTGAACCCGGAACTTTGACGCCGCGATGGCAAGTCCCGGCGCTCTAACCGTTCAACTACAGCAGATTTTTTTTTCATTCTTTTTCAAGCAGTTGTTTATTTACAGGTTAAAAACATAAGTAGGGTGTGTATTTTCCGGTTTTAACCGAAAAACACCGATAAACATCCGTCGGTGACGAAAATACAAAATCGGTTAAAACCGAAAAACACCGGTGGTTGGATATTTTCGCCCTGGTTAAAACCGAAAAACACCGGTCGTTGCGAAACCCTTTCCCCATAGAGGTTCGTCAAACGTGTTATCTCGTGGATCCTGCATTCTTCCAGTGTCCATACATGGCTTGCACGTGGCGTCAGTCCGCCCTCCTTTCTGGGGGTCAAAAGCGTCTAGTTAACGCAGTGGAAGCTAAGCTCTCACACGCCTTTCCCCCATTGTGTCTCCCATGGCCCCCTTTTATGGAAAAACTAACGCAGTGGAGGGTATTCTCTCACGTGCCCTTTCCCCATTGTGTCTGGCCAAGTAATGTCGCTGCAAGCCATGTTATTCAGAGGTTGCTGTGGTTCCTGGAAGACACTGCCAACATCCGTGTCGTCGTACAGGGCTACTGACCTTTCAGAACTGAGATGCGTTCCTTGTTATCTGTTTAGTTTCCATGGGCTTTTGGGGAAACGGAAAAAGGGTTTTGTTGGCGGGGGAGTTTTTCGCTGTATATAAAAGGACCGTTCTGTAAAAAAAATTGCAGACGTGTTTGAGTAGGCGCGTCCGTCCTGCGTCTGCGGGTTTTCTCAACCTGAGACTTGCTTCCCTTCGTCGTCACGCGGAGTAGAAGGCCACCAGGATGGGAAGTAAGCGGAAAGCTCAGGATGACTACACTACAGATTTCATGGATGAATCGTCGTTCTGGTTCCGCGTGCCAATTGTTAATCCGTACATAAACGTGGAGCTGCCAGAGGGATTTGTGCCTTATGAAAGTATCTATCGGCTGGTCCTCCGAGACGAGAGCTAGCTGAGTGACCTATAATCAGAGTTTCTTTGTTACCGCCAGTATGCTGTAACTAGCACCGTTGATCTAGTGTTATTTTGTAAACTTCATTTGCCTGACTGGCCACTACTGTCCCAAGCCTAGCTGGACATTTTGGGATTTCCTGTGTCCAGCGCAAATGTGGAGCGTGCGTTTTCAAAATTGCGGGTTGTGAACCGCAAGGAACGTGCTGCCATGATCTCGAAGTATGCTTGCATCTACTATAATAACCAAGTGTGAGAAATATAGGCTTCCTCAAAAAGTGTATGCATGTGAATAAAATTGGAGCTCTCTGTCTGTGATCGATCGCGTTTTTATTTCACCGATAATCACCGATTTTAGCCTCGTCATGAGACGTTCCACCGAAATACACCGGCGTTTCGAAAATGAATAAACACCGAAAAACATCCGCCGATTTTTCTAACAAATAAACACCGGAAAGTACACACCCTAAACATAAGTAGCAAGAATGAAGGAAATGAGGTATATGCATATGTTAGAGCAGAAAAAGAACGTTACATAAGTTAGACATTGCACTAAATGACCGAGGTGCAAAGCAAATCAGTTAAAGGTTACAACATTGTTAAAGAGTGCAGTAAACTCGGCTCTGGATGTATATTGCACTCAAAGATGTTAAAAGTGTATTAGAGTGAGGCATGTGCGAAGGCGACGGATAGTCTTCCTGAAGCATGAAAATTTAGTGCTACCTTCTGACCTTTCAGCAGAGTGTCTCTCAGATCTTTTTCTATTTCCACTGGTTCTAATATTCTAATAGTTCACTCCAATTTGCTAGCAAAGTGTCGCCACGCAGGTTTAGGGTTCAGTGTGCACACTGTCATGTCTACTCTTGACCGCCATAGCGCATGTAGGCCTAAAACCATGATTATCTCAGTCAGGTCAGTCAGCGTCCTTTGGTCGTGCCGCCGTAGGAATTTCAAAGTACACCAACTAATCTGTAAGTCCAGATCAAAGAAAGACTGTAGTTCGGCCCAAAATATTTCTGCATTGGAACAAAAAATAAACACATGCTCGAGTGTTTCTTCTTTACCACATAAATCACAATCGCGTGACCATGGCACAAAGAAACCCTTGGCCTGCTGCCACACTTTGACGGGAAGGACTTCCGTACGGAACTTGAAAAAGAAGTATTTCGATGATGTGGCGACTGGCAAACGTTTTAGACGATGAAATACGTCACTGTCGGTTGGCTGGTTTGTCAAGGGTCTGTAAAGGGGAGGAGGAATCAGCGCGGAGACTGTAGCCCAATACAGTTGCTTACGGTTGCTTTCCAGAAGAAAGTCCCACGAAAAAGTGTTTTGCAGCAGTCGGATTGACTGGGCGATCTCTTTGTAAAAGAAAAGCACTCGAGAAAAGGGTGTAGGGGTAGCAGTGGTGACTTGCCATGCCAAAAGTTGCGACGCACCAAGGTGGTGAAACGCAGACAGTATGAAGGGGTCCTGCTGATCTCGGAAGAAGAGGAAACGATGAATGACAAGCTTTAGGCCGACATTGATGAGAACTAAGCCTCCTTTTGCAAGACTTAGAAAGAGGTTTTGACGTCGCATTCACTCCATGGACGATTTCCATATAAATACAGCCCAGGAACGCTGAACTCTGTCTGCCGTGGTAGTAGAG